GTAGTATTTAGGAACATCTTATCTGAGCAACATTTTTGATCCTGAGCTGAAATAAGAAAACAGAGGAAATGAAAACAGTTTTTGAAGAGATACATGCAATCCCCTAATCATTGCAGCATTACTTCCAATAGCCAAGATATTGAAACAACCTATGTGTCTGTCAATGGATGAACACATAAAGAAAATGTGATATATATGTACAATGGATTATTGTTCAGTCATGAGAAAGAAAGATATCCTGCCATTTTCAACAACATGTATGGACCTTGAAGACATTATGCTACATGAGATAAGTCAGAGAGATAAAGAATAACACTGTATGAGCTCACTTCTCTGTGGAATCTAAAGGAGCCAAACTCATCAAATCACAGAGTCAAACGGTGGTTCCTGTGCCAGATGTTTGGGGAAATAGGAAAGATATTATTTAAGGGTACAGATTTTCAGTTAGTAGACAAACAGGTCCTGGAGAAAACTTGCACAGTGTATTGAATATAGACAATAACGTTTTATTGTAGTCATCAAACTTCTTAAGAATCTAGATCTCAATTATTCCAAATACAGTAAGAAATGACAATTAGGTGACGTGTTAGAGGTGCTACGTCTACAATGGTAATCATATTACAGAATATAAATGTATTCAAATGAACGTGATGCACACCTTGAATTTACACAATGTTATATGTCAAACATTTCAATAAAAAAAGAAACCGTATATGAGTGTTCTATTTTGATCGTAAGTGAGAGAATAGATAAATGAGGGAATCAATTAGTGGCCTCCATTCTCCCCTCTGCCACCTCCATCACCTCTAGACTCATCTCACTCGGCCTCTACGCCCCCTTGTACCTCTTCATGTGTCCACCTGTGAGCTTCAGACATCCAATAAAACTCCACCCGCTCTGTGACCTCCATCCAACACTTCTGACTTCAGTGTTGGACTCTCCACCTCCATCTTGTGACCTTTTTCACCTCCAACCCCCTGTGACCAGTATTCTGAGGACCTCAGTCTAACCCTCCTCAGCCTTCATCACCTCTGCAAAGTCTGTCATCCATGCCCTCCTTCCTCTTGCTTTCTATCCACACCAAATTCGAATATCGCATCCCATGCCCCATGACTTTTATCCCCCTGCACTCTCATTCATCCCAGCAATGAACTCATAGGCATCATCACTCATAGGCACCATGAACTCATAGGCCCCCAGGAACCCAATACACACTCTGCATCCATTACATCTAACCCTATAATTCCTGACTCTTTCCACTGGGCTCTTTAGCTCACATGTGCTCACTGTCCTTTCCAGCTGTCTCATTGTCCTCTGCCCATTTGGCCTTTACCCCTACACCCATGGTTTTCCCTAGTGCCAGCTCCTTTTCCGACACTCTGCCCAAATTAGGCTATCATCTACCAAGATCTGCCTTCCCCATCTGAATTCACCTTCTCCCCACACCATGTTGTTTAAATGCACCCACCTCTGGCCTTTCCTCTCTTTTGCCATTAACTTCCCCTCCATAGTAGCACTTTAGTTCCCTTGATCCTATCACCCTTTTACATCCTCAGATCCCAATATCCCCCCACCTTCACTTCCTTGCACAGTTTGTCCACTTGCACTTTCATCTCCAGCATTGCACTGTAATATAAAAAATATTTTGCCTTTTCTCTTTCTGTTTGCTCTCTTCCCCTGCACTCTCTATAACTCCAATCCCCCAGGCTCTCTGAACCCCCAAATTATTTTTATTTCTCCTTTGTCCTGTGGCCTATTCTCACTCCACTCTGTAGCATACTCATACACAGCCACTCTCCAAACAGTCAAAGTTTCCCAGATGTGTCTCAACATAAGGTGACAATGCTCACAGCACATTTGACGTGCTGTGCGTTGTAATAAATATTTCCCTTGTGATTGTTGCAGGTTTAGAAGGACTTTAAAGGATAGGAAGGCCCCTATCTTTAGGTATGCAGAAGTCTGTAGATACAACTATGCTTCTGTGTAAAATCATGTAATTGAGAAGGACACATGTATGGTGACTATGATTTTATGAAAGAGTGTAATTGTGAGTTTGGGTGAGTGTGTGTATTTATGAATATTTACATATGTGAATGTAAATTTTCATGTGTTCAATGTGTACATTAATGTTTGTGAGTGTGCAATAGAAATTTTGTGAGCACGTCAGTGACTGTGTCTGTGTATAAGAATGTGAATGTGTGTGACTATCTGTGTGAGTGTGTGAGTGTGCATGCACATGACTGTTTGCATCTGTGTGTAAATGAGTATGTGCATGTGTGTAGGATGTTGTCCACAATTATGGCTCTAACAACTGACATGGCAATCGGCAGCCATAGCATAGTGAACCTGCATCAAAGCGTTGATTTGAGTGTAGGAAAACCTAAAGAACTAAATTCAACATTTAATTTATATTTATTTTTTTCAGACCTGTCAAAGATATTTTCTAATTAAAGGAGCAACCTTAGTTCCTTACTGAAAAATTTTTTGATAAACTAGATGTAGAGGACTTGGCTGACCATTTGATGGTCTTGAATTAAGCAGGTAGCATTGGCTTATCTGACAGTTACCAGAGTGGTGGAATCTCCCTGTTAAACCCTCTGATCCTAGTGCTTTCTTTGTGAAGGTCTATTCTAGAATTTTCTCTCTTTTTTCCTATTGATATTAGTGTGCTTCTGCTTCCCAACACTAGTGAGACTCAATATGATCAACTATAGTGTCCAAAAACTTACATATTAATTGATATTTAGTTGTGCCAATGAAGGCAATGATATCTGATGTAAATTATTGGCATCATGTTCTTCTTTTCACTTCTATCTCTTATTAAATCCTTCTGAGATATTTAGGCTTATTCCATTTTCTTGATCGTAATTTACTTGATGGTGCAGCTCAGTTTTCTAAAATGAGGAAAGAACTCACTTTTGGGTAGAACTTCTGGGTGACGTAGAATATCTAGCGAGACACACACACTAGGTGACAGTCCCTCATATGTCAGACCTAAGTATTTCCTTCTCTCCTCCATATGAGCCAGTATTTGCCACCAGGGATCATGGAAAAGTAAGTCTCTCACACACACTCCAATGATCTCTTAAGACCTGCTAGCTAGAAACCGGTAGCTGTTCTTGGCAATTAGCAACTGGGAACAAAGTTTTCAAAAATACTCTCAGCTCCCAAGCCTGTTACTGCCGATGCTGCTACAGGTGAAATGATAATTGCAGTTCTGAGGGGAGGTGAGGTCACAGAATCACAAACACATATCTCATTGTCTAGCTACCTCTGTCACAAACATACTGACTGCTTTGACCTTCACCCTGAGCCCACCATCCAGGCAGCAGGAAAGGGTCAGTGAGTTTTCTCCATGTTCATCTGAGAGGCAGAATCTGTAAGGGAAGGACGTGTATCAGGAGTCCGGGTAAGTGAGCATATTGGACACAGGGAATCTTCTGCATGTGAACCTCGTCGAGTGCCAAAGCCACGTAGGAAGGTGGAATAAATCCTGAGGCATGAGCTGAGATAGTAAAGAGAGATGGGGTCCTAGACCTTCCACCAATCCCTAGTGGTTCCTAATGTGATGTAATGTAATCCTCACTGACAGTGAGTGTTGTGGTTTAATCCAAGTGATGATGAAATCTAATTGTTAATGTGCTTAAGGACCGTAGTTCTGGAGTCATTCTGCTGTTCAGCCTACGTTACAGGAATCACAGACATAAATTTCAGGTTCCTAGAAGTGCACCCATAATACCTCCACGCTTGAAGTAAAGAGTAGGATGAGCCTACAGGAATCATCTGATCCTGTGCAGAAACAGTGAGTGTAACAGCAGTTGCTGGAGTAGAAAAGTTTTCTCTAACTCTGGGTGCATGAAGTGCTTGAGAGATTTAATAATTGTATCTCTATTGGTTATGGAGACACTTTTCCCACTTAAAGTCAGGGAAGCAGCTTTGAAGAAAAATATAACTTGATAAGTTTCAGACAATATTTTTTGAGTCAAATGTATCTTGCGATATTTCTGCTGCTTTTAAATATTGTAATACTAATCCAAAAAATGTATGTCATTAATACAATATACAAGTTTTTTCCTTTACATTGCATGTTTCACATGTGTTTTGTATTCATTATCTTTCTTAAAGCTTGCCTTACTGCTGATCATTTTATTTAACTCAGGCATTAATCAATAGACAAGTACTTGATCTGAAAATAGTCATAATATGTTTCTATCAGACACTGTTTATCGGGCATCAGGGTTTCTGTCTCCTAGTTCCTGTGACTCAGACCATTGTGATATTGCTCCTGCGATAAAAGCAAATGAGTCTTTTTCTTGCCATCCTAATGTTGAGATATTCTCGCATTCATTAAAGCCAACTTGTGCTGGGGCATGACCTACAGTTTTTCACTACAACTAGGGCATCTAAATTATATTAAAGTCTCTAAAGCTTCATTCAAAGTTTATATACACCTATAGAATAAATCTTCATAAATAAGTGTAAACTCTTCATAACCAAAATTTTAAAATAAAATACCACCTATATACATTGAAATGACAAGATGCAAAACAAAACTAAATTTATATCCAGTTTATTTGAAGAGCACAACTAACTGGTATTTTAGTATATTATGGATTAAATGCACTATCGTGTCATGAGCCAAGCCAGGCTCAGATCCCCACGCTGCCCCTAACCACAGAGTGAATTTAGAGGAAACACTTGACCTCTCTGTTCTTGTCTTGTCCTCATCTTTGTACGGACTGTAACAGTGCCTGCTCCGCGAATTTGTGAGGGGTAAAGAAGTTACCACATGTGTGGCTTTCACAGCAGTGATTCGTACATTGGTAGCGTTTTTTAAAGATTATAATTTCAACTCTTGGAGTCTCTAAAGACAGAAAAACTTTAGTTATTTCAAAGTAGAAACTGTTGTTAAGTGGAGAGTGGTAGATTTCTGAAATAATAGATCTTGCCACACCTATTCCCATACAAGAGCCTCTAGCTCAGAAGACGAATATCAGTCACTGAGAACTAACAGGATGACCACTAGGGATTTGACAGTAGGAATGATCATCTTACTACAGACTCTATTTGGAATCCTGGGGAATTTCTCTCTTCTTTACTGCTATCTCTTCCTTTATTTCACTGAGTGTAGGCTAAGGTCCACAGATTTGCTTGTCAAGAACCTGACTGTAGCCAACTCCTTGGTCCTGTTCTCTAGCGGATTCCATGATACAATGTCACATTTTGGGTGGTATCAGGTCTTCAACGATTTTGGATGCAGATTTTTCCCCTATGTTCGTGCAGTGGGCAGGGGTGTGTCCATTGGCACCACCTGCCTCTTGAGTGTCTTCCAGGCCACCATGATCAGCCCCAGGAACTCCAGGTGGGCAGATCATAAAGTGAAAGTTCTCAAGTGCATTGTCCCTTCAATTTTCCTGTGCTAGATCTTGCACATGCTGATAAATGTCATTTATCCTATGTTTGTGAGTAGTAATTGGAGCCACAAAAACACCACAAACAGAAAAAGTTTTGGACACTGTTCTTCTGTTCGTCATGACAAAACCAGAGACTTATTATATGCAGCATTGCTATCATTCCCTGATGTTTTCTATTTGTTCTTCATGCTCTGGGCCAGCGGCTCCATGGTTTTCATCCCGTACAGGCACAAGCAGAGGGTCCAACACATTCATAGGACCAGCATGTCCTCCAGATCCTCCCCTAAGTCCAGAGCTACCAAAACCATCCTTCTCCTGGTGAGCACCTTTGTCTGTTTTTACACCATTTCCTCCATTGTTCA